GCTGGGCAGCGGGAGCCTCCACTGTCACAGTTGCACTGCCCTGGGCGGCGGGAGCCTCCGGCGTCACGTCGCACTGGATGGCAAGAGCCTCCAGTTTTGCATTCCACTGTAGTGGACAGCAAGAGCATCCAGCATTGCAGTGCACCAGGTGAGCAGACCTCCAGCATTGCATTGCGCTGCACTGGATGGCAAGAGCATCCAGCATTGTGTTGCCCTGCACCGGGGGAGCAGGCCTCCAGTGTCGCATTACACTGCACTTGACAACGAGTGTTTCACTACACTGCTCCAGGGTGGCAGACCTCCAACTTTGCATTGCACTGCACTGGATGGTGAGGGCTTCCAGCATTGCACTGCACTGGGAAAGCAGGCCTCCAGCATTGCACTGGATGGTACGAGCTGCCAGCATTGCAGTGCACTGCCAAAGCAGGGCTCCAGCATTGCATTGCATTGCTCCACACTGTGGAAGTGCTAAATGGAGACAGCCTCTAGCATTGCACTGCACTGGATGGAGGGGGCCTCTGGTGTTGTACTGCACTGGCAAAGTGGGCTTCTGCTGTTCCTGTGGACTGTATTACACCGGGGGAGTAGGCTTTCAGCACTGCACTACACTGGCGCAGAGGGCTCCCAGTGTTGCATTGCACTGCACCAGCAGAATGGGCCTGCAGCATTGCACTGCACTGGGGAAGCACTGGATGGTGAGACCCTCTAGCACTGGGGGGACAACTCCAGGTTGCACTGCAGTGCGGGGAATAAGCCTCCAGCCGTGTGTTACACTGCACTGCTCTGGGTGAGCAGGCCACCAGCGTTGCACTGTGTTGCTGTGCGCTCCTGTTTTTCAGGGAGAGTCTGTAGGACTGCCCTACCGTGCGCTGCCAGCCCTTCCTGCACTGCCCTGCACTGCACCCCTGACCGCTGTGTCACTAGCATGGTGGGGGCCTCCCACCATTGCTCTGCACTCCCATGGGGGAACATCTGGCACAGTGCTGCACTGCAGTCCTCCCTCCCAGCCCCAGGACAGTGCTGGACACTGCACCATGCCACGGAGCGGGAGCCTGATGTACTGGGGGAGGCCTGCTGTGCCTCAAGGACCTGGCACTGCATTGCAGCAGCACCCCCAGCATGGGGACGACACTGTCATGCTCCCCTGGCTGATGCCCATCTTGACTGTACCTGGATCCAGCTGTGCACCAGCACAGGCAGTCAGTTCCCTTTTTGTCCCCCTGCTCAGCCCCACACTAACGCTCCTCCCATGTGCCCGCAGGAGTGAGAAGATCGACTGTCCAGCTTCAGTCACGCTGCGCCTGGGCCCCAAGAAGGACCGGTTGGTGGTGATCGAGGCCAGCCTGGAGCACAACCACCGCCTCTCCGAGGTGGAGTTCGCCCACTACTTCAAGAGGCACCAGCTGGAGGCCAGCATGGGGCTGCCCATCCGCATCACCAACAGCGTCTCCAAGCGCTTCCTGGCGCCCGACCTGGTTTGGAATCTGGAGGACTACAGCAAGGCCAAGGACAAGGGCATGTGTGAGCTCCTGAGCCAACTGGATGGACTCTTCAAGAGTGACCCGGGGGCCAAAGTCAAGCTGGTCTTCCAGGAGGACGTGGCAGTGCTCAACAGCATCTTCCTGGCCACCTCGCACATGCGGAGCTTGGTGCAGCGCTTTCCCCGCTGCCTCTACATGGACCGGGCGGCCTGCGTGAATGGCGAGTTCGACCTCTACTCTGTGCTCTGCGAGGACGCCAACGGGCGTGGGCGGGAGTGTGCCTACTGCGTGGCCCGCCGTGGCGTGCCTGACCTCGTCCTCTTCATCGTGGCCTCGCTGGTGC